TAGGTGATAAACTCTCACTTTGTTTGATCACCTCCAGAGTACAGACTGCTAGGTGTCTGGAAGGAATCATTGTTTTCTTGTGTTTGATAGTTTATATGTTTATGTAATAAAATTTTCTCCTGGGACTTATAATGTGGGCCAGACTTGTATAGGGGGAAGGTTTTTGTGTATAAATGCTGGGCTGTTTGTTAATAAAATCAGTCCCTGTTTTACTCCAACCAGGGCTATCTTTAAGGAGGGGAAAAAATGGCAGCTTCCCTGGGTCCAGTCGTTGTAGGGCCCAAAGAAGCTGCCCCATACTTGCCAACTATACTGGTTTACATTCCCTTGTCCCTTTAAAGTCTTTGTTCTGGGCTGTGTCCGATATCTCTGTGTGAAGTGCTGTCACTTATGCTGTCCAGCTCTGTCCTATTGCCATGTCCAAATGACTTGTGTGCAGATCCTGTCAGTATTCACATATAAATAACGGCTGCATTCATATGTAAATAGTGGCTTCAATGTGGCATTCATATGTAAATGTGGCATTCATATGTTGCATTTATATGTATATTATACACACTCCACCCCCCCTCTGGAGTTTCCAGCCACCAGCACCTCTGCTGGTGGTCAGTGTAAATTCCCCTTACATTGGTGACCAGTGTATAAATGTATTGGTTGTTATGTAAAATCCCCACTACATTGGTTGTTAGTGTAAATGCTTCATTACATCGGTGGTCAGTAAAAATTTCCCAATACATAGTTACATAGTTACATAGTTAGTCTGGCTGAAAAAAGATAAAAAGTCCACCCAGTTCAACCATTAAAAAAAAAACAGTTATAATCCTATACCCACAGTTGATCCAGAGGAAGGCAAAAAAATCCAGCAAAGCATGATCCAATTTGCTCCTGCGGGGAAAAAAATTCCTTGCAGATCCCCAGAGAGGCAATCTGATATTCCCTGGATCAACTTTACCTATAAATGTTAGTTTCCAGTTATATTCTGTGTATCCAAGAAAGAATCCAGTCCTTTTTTGAAGCAATCCACTGAGCTGGCCAGAACCAACTCTTGAGGGAGTCTATTCCACATTTTCACAGTTCTCACTGAAAAAACGTTTCCGTGTTTGGAGATTACATTTCTTTGCCTCTAGACGTGACGAGTGCCCCCTTGTCCTCTGTGATGACCTCAGGGTGAATAGCTCTACACCAAGTTCACTATATGAACAACTGATGGCCATTGGTGGCCAGTGTAAATTTCATTTTACATTGGTGGTAAGTGCAGAATTGCCCTTACACTGGTGGTCCGTGTAAATCCCCCTTACATTGGTCATCAGTTTTAATCTCCCCTAACATTGGTGATCGGTGTAGAAATGTCACCTCCCATTCCATCCAGCACTGCCACTGATCCTATCCCCCCCAAGCACTGCCATTGATCCCATCCCCCTAAACACTGCCACTGATCCCATCAGCACTGTCACTCATCCCATTCCCCCCAGCACTGTCACTCATTCCATCCACCCAGCATTGCCATTGCCTACTAGTTTTCTGTCTAATGGTAGATCCCCTAACCTTCTCAGTCCATGGCATGCAGGCAGTGAGGAGATGATGTGCTGTAACCTTCGGCAACCAATGAGTGAGACGTAATTAAGTGCTGTAACCTCTAGCAACCAATGGGTGAGCGGTAATGATCTGCAGTAACCCCTAACAACCAATCAGTAGGCAATAATAATGTGCAGTAACCTCTGGCAAGCAGTCAGTGAATGGTAAGGATGTAGAGTTAGGAGCTGCAGAATATCGGGGTGCTGTGAAGAGGCTCTGCAGCTTACGCAGGTGTTTGCAAATGTTTGCTAACGAAACCCCTGTTTTTAATGCATACTGTTAGACAGGCTAATTCGGTTTGTTTGCAAGCTGGTTGGTAAGTTGAGCTGGGAATTTTTCTCTTTTTATTGTTTTACATGTGTCGCCCTTCCATGTGCTCTTTGCCGTGAAGGCCAGTTATAGACTGGGGCAGTGGCCATTTTTTGTACTGTTGAGATGTTGGTGAGGGGGTGTACTGGACACCTTGGCTGTCATTGTGCAATAAGCTGGGTGAGCTCCTGTACCTTTTAAGGAGGGGTGGGCTCCCTCAGGTTCACCTGCCCTCAGTCTATCCATTTAAATACCTGTGCTTCTGCTATGGGGACTCTCAAAATTTGTAGAGTTAGGAACTGCAGAATATTGGGGTGCCGATTGTTTGCAGCTTATGCATGTGTTTGCAAATGTGTACTAACTAAACCCCTGTTTTCAACGCATACTGTTAGACAGGCTAATTCGGTTTGTTTTCAAGATGGTTGGTAAGCTGGGAATTTTTCTCTTTTATTGTTTGACAATGATAAGAATGTGCAGTAGCTTCTAGCAACCAATCAGTGAGCAGTAATGATGTGCATTAACCTCTAGAAACCAATCAGCAAGCAGAAAACATGTGCTGTAAGCTCTAGCAATGAATCTGTGGGCTGTAATGTGTGCTGAAACACCTATCAACCAGTCATTGAGAGGTAATGATATGCTGTAACCCCTGGCAATCAATTGCAATTGCTGCCTGATCTGCTGCACTAAACTGAGACATACAATAAAAATCAGCTAAACTCAAAATCAAAGCAGGTGGAGAGCAAAACTGCATGGAGGGGCCCAAGAAAATGTATGCTCAGGGTCCAAACAATATTGAAAATGGCCCTGACTTCAACATTGGTTCTGTCTGACAGTCTGTCATATTTAGTTGGCAGCAGTGGGATCTGCTTCCTCCCTATGGGCAGTCCAAGCCATAATCAGGACCCAGGGATCAGTGTGTCAGGCAGTCTGTGACATATTTGTTTTTGGCCAAACACAGCTTTCCATTTGCAACATTGTCTTGCAAAATTATTTTGATTTCTATGTAATCTATGGGGAAGAAGACATTAAAAAATTTTTTTTGACCAGTGTTAATTTCACAAAACGTAATGTTAATAAAAGATAAAAAGTATATATTTCATTTTAATATTTGTTTTCTTTATAGATATGACCAAAACACCTGCGCTCTATTAACCCCCCTGTTACACAATAGCTGCTGTGATATACACAATAATGTGCAAAGATAAATATAAACCAAGATATACAGCACTTACATAAAAGTGCAAAACAAATAAAGTGCAAAACAAGTGTCCACATGTGATTCCTAAAAATATGGTGCAAACCAACAAATGTCCACATGTGATTCCTGTTATTATAACACAATACCTGTTACGGGAAACTACATATATATTTTATAAAGATGTCCATCATCCATAAAGTGCAACCATTCTTCCACAACGCAGTGAAATAATATAAAACTTCTGAAAAAGAAAGTGCTTCTTTCAAAATCCACTACTTCCTGATTCTTGTGTTCCACTCCACCTGCGTGTACCACCACCATCACAGAGAATTCACCAGACAGCCATGACCTTCTCAAGTAAGAGTTGGTCTATATGCACTTGTTTGTATGTATGGGTTCCCTCACTCCAGTATCTCAGTCCACCATGCTCCTCATTGTAAGCTTCGCCAAGGATGCCCTGTGTTAAAAGGGGAGAAGGAGACTCCAATAGTGTAAAATACCCTTTATTAAAATTTACATCAACATGTATAATACCATACACACATTTCATAGCGCATTAAGCCCTGTACTTGGGTTTAAACATTCAATGTATTGCCGGACTCTCTCTGCCTCACAAAACTCAAAACGCTTCACACTACATGCGCATCTCACCACTTCCAGGTCACCAGTTCGTAACTTCCTGTAGCTCCACCTCGACGTATGTTGCCTTCATCAGGAGGCGTGACAGGAAGCTCGCAGTGTGATCTTTATTAACCCTATTGATTAACCATTTACATACCAATTAATTTTCATGTCCGCTGCTAGTTATTGCAAAACTACTTGCATCACTATCCGGAAAGCAACAAATTTGCACCAACCACCCATCAATAAAATATAGACCTATATATCGTTATTCCCCCTTCCAATTCCCCAAACGATATACATTAGTCAGTATGTGGTATTAAACAAAGGTGGAATAGGAACTGAAGCAGTCAAATGGGCAATAGATAGTGATGAAACAATGAGGAAAGACCAGAAGACATTTATTCTTGATTGCTCGGATTTAGCAGTGAGAAATCATTTTTTTTGGTACAATAACAACTATTATGCTCAAGTGAAATGAGCACCCAGTGTAGCTAACTTGGCAATGGCCAAATGGGAATCTAAGGATTTTTTTGGATGTTTTTGACTATATGCAACATAGAGGATTTAATGCGGATGATATTTTCAGTAAGGAGGATAACAACAAAGCAGATCTTGATGCCATCTTTAAAACTTTAAAACATGATATGGAGAAAAAAGTTGGAAATTGGTGGGATATAGCATCCCTTGATAAATATAGACAGGACAAGATTGTTCATCTGAGATTAAGGTGGGAACTGGCCCCTAATGATGGTCTAAATCAGCGGTCACTAAATGGCGCTGGTCGTCGGCAACATGATATCGCATGTGAGTCACGCCCCTTTCAGCTCACTGTCTCTCCGACTCCCGCTCCTTGCCTGTACACAAGCATCCAGCAAGGATCCTAGCAAGCTCCTTTCTGCCCTCATGGTAGGTTGTAGTCTTACAGGGGCACTCTGATGGGCACATTGAATGTTAAGGGGCACTCTGATGGGCACAACATAGAATATGCCCATCAGAGTGCCCCTTAGCATAACATGTGCTTATCAGAGTGAGTGCCCCCTTAACATAAAATGTGCCCATTAGCATGCTCCTTATTTTATATTAAGGGCACTCTGATGGGCACATTTTATGTTAAGGGGCACACTGATAGGCCCATTTTGTGTAAAGGTGCACTCTGATGGGCACAACATAGATTGTGCCCATCAGAGTGCTTCTTAACATAAAATGTGCCCATCAGAGTGTCCCTTAACATAAAATGTGCCCATCAGAGTGTCCCTTAACATAAAATGTGCCCATCAGCATGCCCCTTATTTTATGTTAAGGGGCACTCTGATGGGCACATTTTATGTTAAGGGGCACTCTGACGGGTCTATTTTATGTTAAATGGGCACATACTGTGGAAAGGGGCACTCTGATGGACACCTGTGATGGAAAGGGGAAGTATGATAAAAAGGGGTACTTTGAGTGTAAGGGGGCACTCTGACAGGAATACCTGATGTAAGGTAGCAATGTGATGGGGATACCTGATGTAAAGGGGCACTCTGATGGGGATAACTGATGGGGCACTCTGATGGGCACACCTGATGTGATGGGAATACATTATGTAAAGTTGAACTCTGATGATGACACGTATTGTAAGAGGGCACCCTGATGGGCACACCCTATTCGGACCTCGGCTAGAAGAAAATTTTAGTGACCGGACCTCTTTGAATTTTAATTCAATACCCCTGGTCTAAATTATCAAATGCATGTTGATGAATGGTTCACATTCTACAATGGGTGTAAATTAAAGTTATTAGAAGTGATTATTAAGAGAATAAAGGAAAAAATTTATGGTTTAGAAAGAAAAATCAGGGAGACCAAAAATAAGCTCCAGCCATTTGTTGACAGTGAAGAATACAAAACCAGATCCACTAGTTTGTGTGAACACATTAAAAAAGTGGACATGGATGCTAAGAACAAAAAACTCAAAAAATATCATAGGGATTTAATGGGTTATCAGAAAGGACAAGTCTACAAATGGCAGGAGTTTATATCATTGTTCCAAGTGTAACAATAAGGGGCTTACATCTAATCAGTCTTCACCAGTTAGAGAGCCTACACCACAGAGTGAAAGATTTAGAGCCTTCCAGGAACATAAGACACCAATATCATCTAAAAGAGGAAATGTGCCACCTCAAAAGAAATCCGTGACAAATAATGGAAACAGAGGTAATGAGTATGAACAGAGGAATATCTCCCATAAACACAGTACCCACCAGTAAGATAGAACCAGGGGCAGACTGCCCGAGGGCCCAGGGTCAGTAGGGGGCCCCATGAGATGCCACTAGTACCTTTCATAGGCTTTTTTTGGGTGTGGTTTGAGGGTGGGTGAGGACACAGGGGCCCCAAGATCCCCTATTGCCCAGGGGCCCCATGAGTTGTCAGTCCGCCCCTGGATAGAACCCCTAACTATAAACCTACCCATAGGGGGGATTTTCACTGGGGGGAGTACTCTGAAGGACCCCAAGATGGCAGGGCAATCCACCTCACAGGAGAGGAAGAGGAGCTTGTTGGGTCGAGTATGGGAATGGACCAAGGTATTATCAGGATCCGGAATAAAGAGAAAAATATGGAGGAGGGGATGTAGAGGAGTGTCAGGAATCAAGGAATGACCAGAAAGGTGTGGACTGACACAAGGAAACGCAGGTCTCAGGTACAATACAATACAGGTTATTATTAGCCACCCAGATATATATATGTATAAACGCACAGTGAACAAACTAACCTTCCACTAATCTTAGGAGGTGCAGGAACACAGGCGTAGTCAGGGCTGGAGAGGTGGAATGGTCAGGCCGGCCGTAGGGTTCTGTAACGACTGCCTGGTGGTACCTCTAGCGGTCCTCAGGGCAGTATTCCCCAGGGCGCAGAGTCTAAGCCCCAGTCTGCCTCTTCACCAGAGCCCCTGATGGTGGGGATGGACTTGGCGCAGGACTGAGACCAGGTCGCGGCCCCTGAGTACACCTGCTAGTGGTAGAGGGATCCGCCAGAGGTATGTGCAGGTACGGCTGGATCCGTGCCGGATGGATGGATGGCAGAGTAGTTAGCGTGGTCAGACAAGCCGGGGTCGGTAACAGTGGAGGCAGATCAGTACAGAGCAGCAGGCAAAGAGTAAACGGGTCACAAGCCAAGGTACAGCAACAGGAGGTCAAACAGCATAGGAGTAGGCAGAAGAATAGTCAGGGATGAGCCAGTAGTCAGAACAGGAGACGGTCAACAGAGATCAGGATCAAGCCGGGTCAGCAACGAAGCAAGAACACAGGGTACAGAGGCTCATGGGAAGACATACACCAAGGCCCAGAGCACAGGCCTGGCCATGCCTTATATACACCTTTCTGTAATCAGCCCCAGGTTTGGCTGATTGTGAGCTTCTGGCTGCTAAGAGCACCCGCTGGTCAGCTCTGGTACTGCAGCCCACACGGCAGGTGAGTTCCACCACCAGTGCTGAGAGCACCCGCTGGGCAGCTCTGGTACTGCAGCCCACACGGCAGGTGAGTTCCACCACCAGTGCTGAGAGCACCCGCTGGTCAGCTCTGGTACTGCAGCCCACACGGCAGGGGAGTCCCACCACCAGTGCTGAGTCCATTCCTGACAAGGAGGGAGGAGGAATAAAAAGAAAAAGGCAACAATAGGAGAAGGGGTGTTTAACTTTAGCTCAGTAGAGTTAATCCAGGAGGAATTGAAAGTCCTGGATTTGAGCCTAAAGTATGCATGCTATCAGGGTTTAAACAAATTTAATGTGTTCATTGATATTGAGAAGTACATTAGAAAACTGAACATAAAAAAGTATTTTTTAAACAAGAAGAATGTGAGAGAGGAGATCCCGGAAAGGGATATATGCATTCATAGTGGTTTGCGGAATGCATCCACTTTTGATCCAAAAAGCACTAATGGTCAATATCTAGAAGTTTTAAAAAAATGGTTGAGGATGACATAAAGAAGGTACACACTAAATCCTGGATTACAGAACCTGAAATTAGGAGAGGGATTACGTTATTGGAATTGTAGGAAGAATTTAGTTATTAGACCAGTGGACAAAGGGGGTGGATTAGTGGTTCTCAACAAAGAGGATTATGAAGAAGAAATGGAAAGACTTTTAGGTGAGGAGGACACTTGTGTAGTCCTACCAAACAACCCCATGAAAAAAGCTCTGGCAATTCTTAAAAAATTTGTGAAAAAAAGTAACAAAAAAGGGATATTGAATAAGAAAGAAACAATGTATCTAGTTCTGGATAATCCAAAAATGTTGGTTATATATTATAAGCCAAAAATTCATAAAATGATTAATAAACCACCAGGGAGACCAATAGTTAGTGGTATAGATCCAGCATTTAGCAGGATGGGGGAATATATCGATTTTTTTTTTTCTCCCAGAAAAGGTAATACAACACCATGCTTATTTGAAAGATCATGGGGATTTGAAAAAAATGTTGAAGGATATTAGTTAGGAGGATAATTATATTATGACAACAATAGATGTCAATAGTTTGTACTCCAGCATAAAGTAAGCAGGACGGAATTGAAGCAGTCAAATGGGCAATGGATAGTAATGAAACAATGAGGAAAGACCACAAGAAGTTTATTCTTGATTGCTTGGATTTAGAAGTGAGAAATCACTTTTTTTGGTACAATAACTATTATGCTCAAGTGACAGGTGTGATGGGGGCTAAGAATGGGAATCTGAGGATATTTTTAAGAATAGGTGGAAGGAATTGGTCTTTTGCAGATGATTTATTGATGACGTGATGGTGATATGGAAAGGTGACAAGGAATCACTCAAAACATATATACAGGAGATAAACAATAATATATATGGACTGACTTTTACATCCACATGGAGTCAGGAATTGATACTGTTCCTGGATCTGACCGTATTCACAGTTAGCAATACAATTCTAACCAAAACGTATGTAAAAGAGACAGATAGAAATAGTTTCCTACTGACTAGTAGTTGCCATCACCCTAAATGGGTGGGAAATATACCCAAAGGTCAGATGATAAGAATTAAAAAGAATTGTGATTTAGAAGACGATTTTGAGAAAAGCAGCAATAACTTGATTGATAAGTTAATAAAAAAAGGGTATAAAAAAGAAACCTTGTTGAAAGTTAAAGAAGATGTAAATAAAATGGACAGGAACCAATTGTTGCAAGGGATTAACACCAGAGGCAACAATAAATTAACGGAATATGCATTCATCACAGACTTTAATGGTGACTATAAAACAGTGGAGAAGATGATAAAAACACATTGGCCTATCCTAAAGAAAGATAAAACGTTAGGAAAAGAATTGTCAGAGCATCCTAAATTTATTTATAAGAAAGCCAAAGCCCTAAGGAACATGATAGTGAAAAATGTCATAAATCCTCCCTCTAGGAGCAGCAATTTCTTGAATGTAAAGGGGTTTTATAGATGTCAAAAATATATAGCATGTAGAACTAGCAAACATAAAGATAGAAAAAGAACCCATTTTCAGTCTAATGTTAACAAAGAAAGTTCCAAAAAATTCATTCATATCATGGAAAAGTACCCATGTAACCTATGTATTGGTTACAATATGTGGGTAAAACTACTAGAGAGCTAGTGAGAAGAGTGGGAAAGCATATGAACAGCATTAGGAAAGAATACGCTCAACATAGCATATCCAGACATTTTAAAGAGTGCCATGGGAAAGATGCAACCTTGCTGAATTTATATGGGAATGAGAAAATAGAAGGACATTGGAGAGGACAAAATAAAAAAATTATATCCCAAAATGAAACAAAATGGACATATATGTTGGACACATTAACCACCGAAGGCTTCAATATAGATATTGACCTGCTTTATTAGTAATTATTAAACTCCTGGGTCTCCTCAACTATAAGGGTGTTTTTCAATGTTTTTAGTGTATGTACTTATTCCTGGGTCTCTTTAAATCTGCCTTTAGGGTATGTACATATTAATTTATTTTATATACTAAGTAAGTTTCATGTGCGCTCAGTATAAGATCCTATTCCACCTTTGTTTAATACCACATACCGACCGATGTACAGCGTTTGGGGAATTGGAAGGTGGAAAAACCATATATACTGTAGGTCTATATTTTATTGATGGGTGGTTGGTAGCAAATTTGTTACTTTCCAGATAGTGATGCAAGTAGTTGTACAATAACTAGCAGCGCACATGAAAAATAACTGGTATGTAAACGGTTAATCAATAAGGTATATAAAGATCAAACTGCAAGATTCCTGTCACGCCTTCTGATGATGGCAGCATAACGAAACATTCGCCGAGGTGGAGCTACAGAAAGTTACAGCCTGGTGACCTAGAAGTGGTGAGATACGCATGTAGTGTGGAGCGTTCTGCGCTTTGTGAGGCAGAGAGAGCCGGGAAATACATTGAATGTTTGAACCCAAGTACAGGGCTTAATGCGCTATGAAATGGGAGCAGATTTACCGATGATATTATACATGTTGATGAATATTTTAATAAAGGGTATTTTACACTATTGGAGTCTCCTTCTCCCCTTTTAACACATGGCATCCTTGGCGAAGCTTACAATGAGGAGCATGGTGGACTGAGATACTGGAGTGGGGGAATCCATACATACAAACAAGCGCATATAGACCAACTCTTAATTGGGAAG